ATTTATAATTTTTTAACTCGTTCATTTTGCTTAATTCTTAGTCAGAGACAACATAATCAATAACAGAATTATGTTATTTCTCTCTGGGCAAATGTTAATAGGCAATTAATGTAAAGGATTATGCTATTTCTGGCTGAACAAACGCATGGAAATATTTCTATGTGTTTTCGTTGTTTTGTCTGAGTACATGTTAATAGGCAATTAACTGATCTCTAATGGCGCAAAGAAATGAAGAACAGAAGAAAAAGAACAGTAATAATTGGACAGACTTGAATGCAGTATCGTTAATGGGAGCTGCAATAATTAAGATCTGGCGATTATAAAAAACAGTGACGAATTTTTGTATTTAATAATAAAATAACATATTAATAAATTGTGAATGAAAAGTTTTATATTTTAGAATATTAATATAATAATTTTCTAATCAATATACAAGTGGAAATAAAATGTTTGTGTGAAGTGAAATTAAGCGTCATTTTTCGCCATCTTGAATTTATTTTCTGCATTTGTGCATATGAATAAGTCTACATATGCACATGGATATGTGTTTCTTAGTAAAAACACTTACATATGAGTTTTTTTAACATTTTTTTACATTTTTTAAAGATTTAATAATTTGTATATAATACAATAATAAAATAAAATAATAATAAAAAAAATTGGATGTGATATTTTCTAATGTTTGACAAAAAAATTTAATTTATGTCTAACATTTTAATGACGTAAAATAAAATATGCAATAATTTACTCCACGTTCTTATGTGTAGTTGTATTAAGGGGAGCGTATGCTAAGCATATGTTGCTGCAATGCAAACTGAATTATTCGCGATAGAATGGTTCCCTATGAAAGTATCAGTAACTAAAAAACTTCACTGTTGCAGTTTTCCCCTCTGCCGCTTATGTACAATGAATATTGAAACGAAGGGTAAGTAAAAGAAAATATTTATACCATTTTCCCAATTTTTAACACTTGTGTGCTCACAAAAATTCTTAGCAAATTTAATACTGCTTTGGGCACATGTTTCTATAGTGACAATAGTCACATTTGAGACTCATGAGTTTGGCCAAAACCCATATGCGTTTTAATGCATTTGTACGTAAATATTAAGTACTTTAATGAGTTAATGTATAAGTATACGATGTGTTTATATATAATAAATTGTTTTTAACTTCGATTCTTATTAATTTTCATGTTTTAATACACTTTCGCTGATAAAAATATTGCAAAAATAAAAAAAACAAAAGGATTCGAACAGCAAAGAAAAAACAAGAACAAAAATTTAGTTAATTTGCTAAGACCACTGATGATGAGTCCTTGACAATAATAAAAACTGTGTTGTATTGTCAGCCAAATTTCAATAACTTAACTAAATTTTTGTTCTTGTCTTTTTTTTGCTATTCAAATCCTTCTACATTTCAAAAATAGCTTCTTTGTCGTCATAAGAAGCGTAGCTTTCGGCAAAAATAATTAACTTTAATTTATTTAATTTTTTTTTATTATATTTTTTATCTATATTAAATTTTTTTATTAAATATAATATAGATAACGTAAATATATATTTATTTTCACAACAGTTAAAACATATCCAGAATATCCAGAAAGATCCATCTATGCTACAGAAAAAAATCCATCCATGTTATAGAAAAAGACCCATCTTTTCATTGGTGTTTAGTTGTAAAATGAGAAATCATTTGATCCATACAATCAACGCCTGTTTTATTAGTATTATAACACAAAATTCCTGCTCCACACATTTTGCTTTAGTGCACTATGAAAAGGAAGTTCATACATAGATTATTTCTTGGCAAGTAGCTGCATATAGAAACCAAGTCTTCATGAAATCTAATCATAGTTCTAACGAATGCTATACCAATTTTAGTCAATCATTTGGCTCCTTTCAATGTTATGCAGGAGCAATCCGCAATAGTGACACTGCCAGAGTTAGTATACATTTTTTCGGGTTTTAACATAACATTTTCGCTTGATTTACTTCACATTATACAGCTCCCTCTTTTCGATCTGTATATAATTTACGCTATTTTATCAATATGCATACGGAAGGGATGTGCTTGTTCAATATCAAATCGAATAAATTGGGTCATTATTTCGGAATCATTTCGAAGACAGAGTTGCTCTTAATATGCAATTTTTGTATGTAATTGTGGGAAATACCAGCATTTTACATCATTCTGTGCGATCTGTACCATAAAAACGACCTTATTCCTCATAATAATAAATCGATTTCTTTATCTTCTCTGATAGCTCCCACCATTTCTATAACATTGGCTAAAGCTGCTGACAGTCGACAATAAAATGTGTTGTCTAAATAGCTCTATGTCGGTTTGGCTATTTATTTTAGTGTGAAATGGACAGTAATACTTACGTCACGTTTCGGATTGAGCTTTTTATTATTTGGTTCAAGTGGCTCATCATCATCCTACATAGTAGAGTTGAGTTCGGCATTTTTTTAGAAAAGTTTTTTCGAATGCCACGAATGTGATGTAAACATCAAAATATGTATATAAGTATCTTTCTGCATTCTTTATCGTTACAAATTTTCCGTAGATCTATAGCCAATAAAATTGTAGGAGGGTACCTGAAATATCAGATCTAGCTAGCTAAATCAGAAATGTATATAAATTACGTATGAAATTAAAAAAGGTCTGGTCAGACTAATACGCCCTACAGAGGTTAAGTTCAGTGTGCTTAGAAAAACTTGCCCAAATATTTTTTTTAATCAGTTTTAAATAATTTTTTTAAAATTACTAAAAATATTATTTATAATTCATAAAGATATTAATTCCTAAAAACTGAAATGAATAAAGTAAGGTCTATAAAAACAACAGTTTCCTTAGTAGTTTTCTGTCAAATTTTTATTGTTGTTGATATAGTTATTTTTTTATTTACTATTTTAACAATAATTAATAACTGTTACTTATTAACAATTTAAATATTAAATAACCGATCTTAAGTCTGATTAAATTAAACTTCATAAAATTATTATTGTATGAAATTTTTGTTCGAAATATATTATTTTTTCATTAAACAATTTAGAGAAAAAATATTACATAATTATATTAATATTAAATATATTTATATTAAATATATTAATAAATATATTATATTATATATTACTTTACTTCTAATACTTAAACTTATTATTATATTAATTACTATTTTTCAATTCCAAAACATTAATATTGATATTCCCTAACTCTTTACCGTCTTTCCCCTAACACACAACATATCCAATATTTAAAAGAAATGATATTTGCTGAAATATATATAATTACAATCGTTAAAATTTATTTTAATAACTAATTACCTTGACTTTATTGGATGCATTTCGGCTTATAAAAGTTTAATCAATTAAAATATTAAATTAATTTAATAGTCAATAGTCAAGATATCAAATTATAGGCCTTGACTCTGATCTAAATGAAGCAACAAATTCGTTGGCAAGATTGTATATAAATTTTGTCAATAAAATCAATAAATAAATAAAATTGTTAATTTAATTATTTTTAAAAAATTTATACTAAATGTTCAGTCTTTTAATGAACTTTACATTATTATTGCTTGGCGACATGTCGTCTGCAGACTTTATGTGGACTTTCCGGATTGGATTAACATTTCACGTTGTTGGCTTTACAATCGCAAAAGTTTTTCTCAGTTTTTTTTTTAATTTTTTGGATAAAAGTGTTAATTTATGCAGAATTAATCTCAACATCAAATGGTTTGATGATGTTTATTAATCTTTTAAAACAATATTTTGTCTTAATGTTAATAACTTTAGCCTTGGAATATTATACACTGCAATTGTCAAATCCTAAAGTAATATTTTGTGGAGACTAAAATATGTATATTCAAAAAAAAAATATTTATTAAATATTTATCTTTAGTAAATCATAGAAATAATGTATACTAGATTAGAGCTCTTTGAATCATTTTGATGCGTGACTACGTGAGTGATTATTTGGATTGAGAGAAATTCGAATATATAATATAATAATAGAATAGTTTTTGAAAAATAAATGAAATTGTCTTTGCTTTGAGAGCAAGCGTCACTCTAGCAAAAAAGGTTTTGAAAGCAGATGTAGAAAACGTTATGAAAATCGCTATGAGCCGTC